GCCCCGCCTCCTTGTCCTCCCTGCTGCGAGTTGCCCGCCCTCTGCCCGCTCCTCCTTCTGCTCTCTGGGCTGCCGGTGGCGGCTGGGAAGGAGAGTGGCGCGCGATCTGCCGGAGCGCGGGGTTGGAAGGCGGCGGCGGTAAGGACTTGTGGGCTGCGAGGGAGCGGGCGGCTGCGAGCAGGGAGCGGGCGAGCCGGCGGGCGCGGGGGCGGCAGAGCCCGATCCCTAGCGGCACCCCGTCCCGGCGACCGAGCGGTCGTGGCCCCGCGAGTCCCCGCCGGCGCCGCCGCGTCCCGGGCCGGCTGCGCTCCTGGGGGCGAGAGGAGGCGGCCGTGAGCCGAGACCCCGTCAGGGCGGCGAGGGATCAGGCGGCGTGCGTGGGCTCCTGTGTGGGTTTTGCCTTTCTTTTCCCTTCTATTCGGCGGCCCAGTGTTCTTTGAATTGAGCAAAGCAAAAGCATTTTTCTCAGCCCAGTTCAGCTTCTCTGACTGCAGGAGGTCAGCAGTTCTGTGAAGTGAGCGAGCGAACCGCTTCGGGACAATTAGAAGTCTGAAGCAAACCCGTCCCCAGTCCTCCCGCTTCCTGTGCCTGGGTGTCTGTGTAGGTGACCGTCGGCGACCCGCATGGAAAGTAGAACCAGTGTGTGGAGCCCACGACGCTAGTGGGGACATCTGTGACCTGCACACACTGCTCCAGCTTCACCCATGGCCGGAGGGCACCACCCTGTCCTCTTTGAAAAAAGTGGGATGCTAATTTCTTTGGTGGCTTTTCTTGATTCTTTTTTACAGTCTCTTAAAAATTACACTTCTTGAAATGTAAGAGATAAGAGAACACCTGTTAGTGGGAAGAATGTTTTAAAGATGAGGAAGAGAAAAATCTAAGATTACTTCTCCCCCACCACACAGCCTAATGGGCTTTGTTATTATCTGTGTTTAAAATCTAATTCTCATGAAATAGTATTTGATATGGAGGTGGGGGTACCGAGTATTTAACTTAGGACCTTGCACTTGCCACACAGGCGCTGTGCTGCTCAGCTATATATCCCTGGCCCCTGTAAAATAGTATTTGAAGGGTTTGAAGTAATACCAAATATACACCTATCTTATAATAGTATTTCCTGCTACCTGGTCATGCAACAGACAGGGTGGCTTGTGTTTGTCATTCCACTGCAAATGCTTTATACTAGGAAGATGGTATTGTGAGTTGGAGAAGAGGGTGGGCAGGGGACCCATTTGACTTCAGGTAGTGTACTTAAGGAAGAATAATTACACTGCAAATGAACATCCGTGATAAAATTTGTGTCATATGTGAACCACTAATATGTCTATAGGATGGAAAAGGATCTTTGTGGATTATAGCAAAGTTTTGCCTTCTGGAAAAAGTAATGTACACTGTTTTACCCATGTATGTGTGCTGAGATGTCATGATGCCTGCTGAGAAACAACCATGCGTGGATTTGAATTAAAGAAGTTTTGCAGTATATAGGACTTGGATAGTGTAGAAATGAAAAATCCAAAGTCCGAGATGATAGTAAAACAGTATACTGCAAATTACGTACCACACAGATGTACTTTTATGAACGTGGTACACAGCACCTGAGCTTCTTTACTACAAAACAAGAGATGCAACTTCAGTATGTCAATTTCGCAGATATGTCATATACTACCTGAACTAGTTATTGCTCTCAGCCATAGTTCGTTCGTTCGTTTGTTCATTCGTTCTGTATTTACGACAGGATCTACAGAGTCTCACTATGTAGATCAGACTTCTAGTGATTCTCCTGTTTTTAGCCACCCAACTGCTAGTATTACAGGAGCTCACCATGCCCAGCCTCAATTGCCCATTCTCAATCCCTGTCTCAGTGCGCCCCACAGGCCGGGTCTGCACCGCAGATGGGGATCCAGCGATTCCCCTGCTGGCCACTGTGCTCTGCCTAAACAGGTGTTTTAGTCCACTGAGCTATCAGGCCCGCCCAGCCAGTTTCTGTATCTATACTGTTCAAATCAAAGTGTTATCTTGAGGATTAACTGATTGCTTTGTAAATGACTTAAGATGGTTCTTCACACTGAGTAAAGTCCTCAGAAAATGTTAATGATGTTATGAGTAGTCCAAAAGCCCAGAGAAAAGGGGAATGCAAGGATACTTCGTGATAGAGAGAATGACTCTTGAGTTGAGACTGTGCCCATGCCCATGCTAGTCCACACCCAAGCATACATGGTCTTTCTAGAACTTGTAAACTGCATCCTTTGACTCCTTTGGCCTTTCCTGTGCCACCATTTCCAGGGAAGCTGTCATATAGGCTATGTGTGGGTTTGAAGGGATAGATATAGTTTACAATTCCAGACCTGACTGCCTCTTGCAATGATAGTTTCTTGTGTTCCAGGTTCATAACCAAGGTATTTGTGCGTGTGTGTGTGTGTGTGTGTGTGTGTGTGTGTGTTTTAGTACAGGATCTACAGGGTCTTACTACATAGATTAGGCTCTTGGACTTATAGTGATTCCTCTGTTTGCAGCCTCCCAAGTGCTGGGATTACAGGTGCACTCCACCATACCCAGTTTTAATCACCAGCTCAGCTTTCCCATGGGCGAGGCCTGCATGGCACGACAGGGATTGAACCCGGGCCACTGCACCTACCTAGGCAGGCACTTTAGTCAGCTGAGATATCAGGCCGGCCCCAAGTTTTATTTGAGAAAGAGAGAAAAAACAGAAATAACTGTGGCACAGTAGGGGACACATTAATCACCTTTCTTTGGACTCTTAAAGTGAATGTTTTACTCAGCTTAGTATGCTCAGAAAAATAAAAATAGTAAGTAGCTAATCTCTAAAAAACAATTTTAATATAGCATTTGGGGTTAGTGATTCCTAGAGGAAAGTGAAGAAAAGACATTTGTAGCAAAGCAATATTTCTTGAGCAGGGGAACTGTGCTATGGTTTGCTCCTTCTAATTTAGGGGCATGCCCATTAATCATCCATCCATCCATCCATCCATCCATCCATCCATCCATCCATCCATTCTTCTTGTCATTCAGCAGATACTTGGCTCTGTTTTGGGCCGCAGTAGTATAGCACAAAGCAAAAACAGGCCTCTGCTATGGCAGAGAAAAATTCTGGTGGGAGAAAGAAGTTGTGTGTGCCAGAGGACCTCTGTAAACCCTAGATACTCCCACTTTGACGAAAAAGAATCTGCATGAGGAAACCAGTATGTTTGGTATACTTTCAGTCTGTGAGTCAGTCTGTTCTGAGGGAGATGATCTGGCAGAGGCTGGGGGTGGTTACAGTGAGTCCAAAAGGTCCTCTTGTCAAGATAAGAGGCCTATTTCTTTTTGTATTTTATAAAAAATTACACCCATACCTTGAATAATGGCTGAGTAAAGCCACCAGCCAATGAAACAAATAGTTGTACATGCAGTAAAAACAAACAGTGATTTAGAACTGAGACCTCTCAATTTTAGAAAGGCAAAGAAGGAACAAAGATAGGATCTGATCATTAAGTTCCAAGACCAGGTGATAGTTTCATTTGGCTCTAAAATACTTGATTTTGTCATTATAGAAGGTGTGAGAAAGCAGAGTGGATACTTCATTCCTCATGTATCTTCAGGGTGGTGTTTTTTCTTTAAAGTTATGATAATATCTAATTCAACAATAATGCATTTGTTTAGAGTATAGAAGGCTTCAAAAGGTGCCAGTCAGGCACCGATAGTAATTTCCTGGAGTACAGTCAGGAATGTATGCTGCAGTTCTTAAGAGTATAGGTTCTGGGGTGCTGAGCTGAGCAATCTGAAGACCACCTTGAGTACTATGTCAAAGGTGGATTCAGCAAAGTGAATGTGAAGGTTACACTGCTTAGTGCCCACTGGTCTGTGAGCTGAATGACAGGATGCTGGAGGACAAGATGACCTGGGGAGCAGTGCTTTGATGTAGGTCTGGAGAGGTGAGTGCACATCCTGTTATCTTCTAGGGTGGGCCTTCCCAATAGGGAATCATCTAGTACTGGAGATGGTCATGGCTCTTTGCCCAAGATAAGCAGTTGTAGGAACTCCAGTTGGGACAGATGGCCAAGAGTAATGGTTTCAGTTGAAATGAAAACTGACCTGTGAGCCTTCCAGTGAGGGATGTTCAGTTTATCTTGGATACAGAAGTAGGAGGAGAGGTTGGAGCTAGAGATGGAGAGAAGAAGTTCTTTTCAGAGCAATGGGAACTGGTTTCAGAAAGGCTTCCTTCCATTGTCTAGTTTGTGAAAATTTACTGAATTATGCTGGAGGTGAGAGTCATGTGTGTCTTTGTGACTACAATTTTTTTTTCTTTCATCCTTTCAACAGGCCTAACAGTATAAGCAAGCCCTTCACCTTGGCCTCAAATGGCTAAACCTACGCAGATGTTATTCTGCAGACCTGGTGGAATCTGCTCTATTATTTTGATCTGAAATAGTTAAAGGGATGTGCATAAAACTGTTCTGAATGTTTGATAGCCAGAATATATAAATGATAAAGCTGAATCCCCAATGTCTTATGATCTGAATGTTTGTGTCATGAATATGTTGAAACCCTGTCCCCTTATGCTATAGTACTTGGAGGTAGGGCCTTTGGGAGGTGATTATGTTGAGATGAAGTCCTGAACATGGGACTCCCTATAAAATGGGATTAATGTTCTTATTAAAAAAAAAGGGAAGAGAGATTACACTTTCTCTCTCCTTGTCAGATGGGAACCCAGCAAGAAGGTACTGTCTGCCAGCCAGGAGGAAGGCCCTTCAGAAATCAAATCTGTAGACACTTGATCTTGGACCTTTTCACCTACTAAGTATAAATAAGTGTGTGTGTGTGTGTGTGTGTGTGTGTGTGTGTGTTGAAGCCACACTCTGGTATTTTTTAACATAGCATCCTGAACAGACTGGCATCCATGTGTTGCATGGAAGAAAACAGTTAAGATGACTTGATTCACTTGCTGAGGATATAAGGTTATAAGTGAGCTTGATGTGCATTTATACAATACTGAACACAGCTAAAGAGGTGTGTTATCTGCATGTTTTCTTAGTCTAACCTTAATAATATCAGCTAAGTCAAGATAACCTTGCTTTTGACTTTGAGACTTAGAAAATTAAGAGAACCTCAGTGTATTTTGACTTTTTCTCCTATGGGTT